TTGAATTGAATGTCTAAATTGGTCCTTATATAATAAAATATCAGGCAAAAATATTTTCTCAAATTTTTTTGTAACTTTTATAAATAGTGTTTAGTTTGAAGTACAACTGTTTGAAGGGTTGATACATACATCAAAGTAACACTTTCACTTCAAACTGTTTACATGTTACTGTGAATTTTCAATGAACAAACAAAGATAAGAAACATTCAAACGTCAATTGATACCAATATGGAACTGATTCATGTAAAGTCTTTGTTTCTGATATTTTTACATGATTTTAAAAGTAAAGATTTGCCACAAGAAAGTATGTTTTATTCTGATTTAATTGTTCATTGTAACAGTTATTGGTGGACTCCTTCCCGTTGTTTCTCAATTCGTGTGCCTTATTCAATTTTTTGTTCGGTGCCCTACTGGTTGTCTTGCCTGCGCGTCTTGCATATATCATGGACAGAGTTATGTGAATGTTGCGTTGTCGTGTCGATATTTGTTCAGATTTTCTAAGTCAAAGAGTGATTTAAAATTATATTTGTTATGATATTTATTTATATAAGATCACCAAAATCTCGTGTATTGTTATGAAACTTCACAATTCTCAGTTTCTTAAATGTATATTGGCGTGATTTAGTATCACTACGGAGACAACCAATGCCAAGTTCAGTTTTCCGTGCCGTATTGTGACTGCATAAATAAAGAGTATCAAATGTATTATAAAATACCTTAGTGATGTTAATACTATTCTACATTTTATGCTTACAAAGAATGGTTCGAAAATTACAAATGTCAGAAAAAAAACATGTTTTACCTCTCTGGCGGTTTTTAAGGATTTCAGTTTATTTTACATGTGTTCTATTCAGTCTAATAATTGACTAATTCATATACTTGAAAATACTTAAAGCAACGATTTTAAAGTAATTGAAAAGGAAATTTATTTCTGAGTGGGCACAATTTATTATTGTAATATATTGAAGCTGACGTACTTCCACGTGACATACTATCAGACGAGAAAGCTCTCAAACATAAGAGATGGTAAAGATTGAACAAATTTTATGTGTTTGAAAACCAAACGGTGGTTAAAAATTAATACGTTGATATTTATTGATGTTTCATTTGGAGATGTTTTTATATTCAGTTTTCATGCTGATAAAATACATTATGTCCCAGCTTTTTATCTCTTTTTTACAAGAAGTTCACATTCAATACTTGATCAGTTATTGATTATAGAAACATCCGAAATTATCATTGTATTGTCAATAACTTATTATTTTACATGCTTTATCTCTCGTTGTTATCTAATTCCAGTTACCAGTATATGTCAAAACGGTCTTCTTGATAAAGAAATTATTAAATTCAATAAGAAAGTTATATACAGTAACTACTAAATACATTGAAGGAACACTATTTTTGAATTTGTTGTTCCTTCAAGTTGGCTTTCGTTCTGATAAATCTATTGTAGTTTTAAAGTAACACTCATCATGGCTCTTTAAATAGATATATTTAACTTAAATCATTTTTGCTGCATTTCTGATTACCTTTTTACAGTGTATTATTCTATAGCAATCCTTAATTCATTTAAGAGAGAGTAGGTAAAAGGTTGTTTATTAGTTTTAATAAATACAAGTTTAAGCACTTAGAATAATACTGTTGCCGTGTTGAATATAAATAACACTGACCTGTCTTCAAATATTAGAATATAAACCGTTGCTATGTTTTATAACAGGTCGTTTGGTGTAATGACCTCACCTTCCTGAACACCGTGTAACACGCAATATTGCAACACGGAACAAGAGGTAACATGGGCTTATTTATTATATTTATAAATAAACAAGAGAAAAGTATGCAGCTATATTTGGTTTGTCTGTGTGAAGTTTTAGAATATCTCCATAATTATCATATTAATTTCACAAAACAATTCTGTGTAAAGTTTTAAAATATCTCCATAATTATTATATTAATTCCACAAAACAATACTTACTTGACAAAGTATGTAATTGTTTTACGGAAACAGCGTTGACGCCTAAGTTGATAATTATATTGCATATAAGACTATGGTTTAGGTGTTTTATATGGAAATAAATAAATGGTTATCATAACAATTATTATATTTATCAGTTAAGTAATACATGAGATTAGCATTGAACTATATGGGTATCTAAATGTTTTACTCTTAGTATTGTATTTAAAAGATATAGGTGGTTTGCGTGCTAAGCATTTGAAGTAGAGCTAAAAAGATATAGAGAATATTTTTATTTCCTTGCGAGACGTGTTGAAGGTACGCAATTGGATTACATCTTATTCTAAATCAGAATATCATAAAGTTTGAAAGTTGTATTTAACGTTGTCAAGATTTATCTGTCTGGCAAGAATAAATTTTTTTGTCTTGCCAACATTTCTTTTTTTTTCAATATTTGTAAGGCACACAAATGGTAACTTTTTCTATTAAAACCGTGACGTTTTATTCGATATGTAAATATTGTCTTTTTTAGTATATATTCTTGAACCAAAACAGTGGGACATGTCTTGAATGAAGACTTCACTACTGAAACAAGTTTATAGATGTCCCTGATTTAGATTAAAATAAGTGTGTTAATTTAACTCAAACAACTCACTCTTCTGTTTCTGTTCGGTACTCTGCTTGGCGCCTTGTCAATAGCTTTTGTTTGTTGGGGGTGTTCATCGGATGTCGTTATCCCTTGCTGATCTTTGTTCTCATGGTTTGTAACTTTGTTTGATAAACGTGTTCTGTAAAAAGAAAAAATCATGTTATGGAATCATGAATGAAAAGCAAAATAAACACGTACATATATGATATACACGCAATTTGTATTGATGTTCAAACATGTTTTGGAAAATTTGAGTGTTTTGATAAACAATAGCAATGTGTCTGATCGCTGCTAAAGCAATGTTAAAATATTCATTTCAAGCTCTCACAAATAGATAACACATTAAATATATGATGACAATTATATTGATTTTATTTTCTCACAAGTGAGTGTGTCACTTAAGTATTTATTTGATGTCCGTAAATTGAAAAAAACACAACATGATAATTATATACTGTTACATTTTTTATGAATTCTACTATAATAAACAAAAAATACACAACCATGACCATTTTTATCGAAATATAATTTGAATTTACAGATATGAGTTAATAAGTAATAAAAAGTAGTGAGAAATAATCCCCTATGTTTGGCATATGTATATATTTAACTAGTTTGATGTTGAAGTTGACGATTGTTACCGGTAGTTTGTATATTAAGTGATTTGAGAAAATTAAAAATACTTAATATTAAGGTGTGAATTTTTTTATTATACTCACGCTATTTTCCCCGTTGATTTGAGGGCGTATTTTGCATGCATTCTCTGCATTATAATTCTTATAGTACAATACTTAAAATGAATTGCAAAGATGACATTTTATTTATTATAACAAGCATGATTTGTTTACTATGTAACATGTTATGTCGACAGAGGGTAACAATCCGTAATGTCACATTGCAAAATCACATTACGTTCCGCCGACATAACCAAACGTCTCTCATGCACAAAGCGAGTACCGGGCTAAAAGATATTGGATATTTTCATGTATATTGTTTTGTTTGGTAAATTAAAACAAATAGCACAAATTCAACTGTTAGTGATAGAACAAAATGTTCACCCTTGATAAATAATGTCGTCTCAATTAACACCACTAATCACAAACACCCGTAGTGAGTGTAATCTTTATATAATGCCATGAACATATTTCAATGCCAAATCATCTCAGACGGCTGTCCTTTCGCTTCACACTGCTCAATGTTGCAGGCCTATATTCTCAGTAACCTTTCATGAAGGACATTTGTTAGTTGTATAATTCGAAGAAAGGTCCTGATGACCATCTAACGAAATGTGGTTGTTTGTATTTATGGTATGTTTACGATAATTGTCAAGTTGGTTAGTAAACGAATGACGTTATCATGATTACAGGTTCAAATATCTAAAACATTGTTGTATCGTGTTAATGATTCTTTGGTGCTTGATTTATAATTTGAGAGCCGACTGGTGTCTTCCAATGTATATAGTCTATCAATTCTCATTGCTTCTTGAGTTTAGAGAGCACATCTTCGCAAAATCGAAAATCGTGTGTCCCCATAACATTACTATTTGGTACTCATTGTTACAACGTATAGATGAGTACCTTTGTACCAGCATTTTTAATACAAAACCGGTTTATGTACATTCTTTGTTCGCTCGAATGATTCGAGCTGTATTTAATCGGGGTTTTCATATTCGGAAATCAGTTTCTAGCGAGCAACTCTTAGGGACACTCACACATTCAAATTCAATGCCAAAATTATTTTGTGAAAAGTACAATTTTTTAAAAGCGTACAAGCTTTGCCTAAATGAAATGTATTGTTTAATTTTTAACGGAAACATTTATTGCTTTATGCTATACATGTTTTTGCACGTTTATTATGTCATCTTGTGTACTGTCCCTAAATACAAGCGTTCTCGCATATTGCATTCGAGTGTTTTTAGTTTTTATTTGTAGAAGTATTGTAGGAAATAAGATGGTACAATGTTGTAAGATGCCAATCACTAGTTCTCAATTGTCAGAAAGAATAAGGTGTGCCAATTAAGAATTAATCTTTATAAAAAGACGATAAACATAATTTAACGGGATGGGGCTTGGAATAGAGTACTTAAGTAGAATATGTGAACTATAGAAACAGTAAAAGTTTAACAGTGACTGATGTTGAAAGTGACAGTGGTACAAACAAAACAATTAAACCAAGAGTTAAATAGTCGTTTTAAACATTTTGAAATTAATTATTTAATTGTGATATACGTGCTTGTTTGCATAAATTTTATTTTAATGTAAAAAGTTTAATAACATTTTATATTTACTAATACAAGCAAGTTATAATAGACTTAGATAACGGTTTGAAAAATCTATAACAACCGAAGGCCGCAATATCGCCGAAGTGATTCTCTGGAGGAGATGTTATAGGAATAAACACAGTATTGGAGTTTAGACGTTTGTCTTGCGCTGTATTCACTATTCCAGTTATAGTTAACTCTCGCGGTTGTAAACATGTGTGTTTTATTAAAGTATTTTTAGAAAGTAAAGTACTTAAAGTTTTTAAAAGGATTAATTTTAAAAGCATTGCACGTGATAATGTTGATCCGGTATTGATAGATCGTGTCGTTTCTTATTTTTACATATGAAAAGTTTGATATATATTTAAAAGTGTTTTATGATTGGTTTGAATACCATGTGTTTCTCAAGATTATAGTTTGACTTTTGCTTTTATTGGGTCGATGATCAAAATTGGTTTCATTAAAGTCTCGTAGTTTGTCAATCAGCGAAATAGAAATTAATTTTGAAAAATTATATGAACTTGTACAAACCTGAAAGGGATACTATGAATTATTTATCGGTAATGTGAAAAGTCAAACAGGCACATATAAAATATTTATATTAAAAAAAAGAGAATGGCATCGCAGTTTGTTAGAATTAGATGATGTGAGAGGAAAAGATATGGATATATTGAGACTGTTAACAGTGCAAATCTGGATTTTTGCTTTTGACGGTATATATTGCTATTGTAAGTATATTTTATCAAGTTCATAAGTTGAAACTGATAATTAAAAACGAAAATATAAATTCAATCCTATCCAGTGAAGATCATTTTTAGAGGATGTATTTTTTCACTGCCAAAATTATATCCTTTGTCTATTTTTTATTCTCTTACAAACATTTATTAGTTAGTTATTAGCCTCTATTATAGGAAGTAAATTAATCGGTATGATCACGTACAATGCTTTGATGAACTGAATATTATTTGAAATAAATATAAGCTGTATATGCTAAACAAAATTCTGCATTTTTGAGAATATCGCAAAATAAGCTATTAACAATTTAGATATCAAAACAAACACTATGGATGATGAGATATGAAACTATTGACATTAATCACGGGAGAGTGATATATAATGTACATATTTTAACAATTTGAGGACCAGTCACATATATGTTATATTTTAACATTTCGCATTTATTGTATTTTTTCGTTTATATATATCTAAATTAAGGAGAAATTTTAAAGATAATCATTATCATCTTAAAAAATAGTGTTTACAGTCACTGGAGCCAGTTGACCGTATTGTTGAATAAAGCGTTATATTTTTTTGGCCAGATAAATAATACAGATTGTTGCTTAAATGATCAATTTAAGTGTACAATAAAGGTCATTTTACTAGAATTTGAATCGAAAAAAGTGCCACTTGACAGATACAAGTAGATCTACTTACAAAAAATGTTAGTTTGCATAATATTTTGTTGTCATATTATATACGTCGACATTCAAGGCATCAGGTGTACTGAAGCAAAATCGAGAACCTGTTGAATAGAACTTAAATTAATTATCTATACAAGAGGTATAAAAAAAATCCTGCAGTATATGAAATAGAGAAAAACAGAATCCCTTAAGAAAGTTCAACACGGCAAAATTGAAAATGTTGCAGGCTCGGTTTGATTGAGCCTGTTCGTGGACGGTACTGTCAAGTGCAAACTACCGTCCACGCCCCCTAGCACCGGCTTAAGCAGAATTCAACATTTAAACACGAAAATGGTGAAATTCTGAATTTAGAAACCTCCGCAGATGTGTTCATACGGCGGTTATCATGGAATCTTCAATGTGACAGTTTCGTGCCACAGAACCCACAGAAAAGAGAGACGTTATAATAAATAGAAAAAAGATTTATTATTTACGTAACATAGAATCTGTATCGGTTTTTACTTATTTCAATGTAAAACTTTTTACAAAAAAAAACTGATTGAATCCGTTTTATTATTCTATAGTATGCATTTTTAGATTTGCAGGGAAAGGTTTTCGTCAATAATCAGATACTGAAACATTGCATTTGGTGTTATTGATATATTTCATCTCGTCAATATTTCACGAAGTATGATCATACTTGAAATGATAAAGAAATAAAATGATTGATCGTTAATATAATTGAACTCCAATTTTATTATAAATTTTAATGCATAAGTTTTTATTTAACAATGTCCTTTTCAAAGAATATTTTTTATCTTTGAAACAAATTAATTATTCATCGACCAAAATGCGTTAAAATGAATTTGATGTTGTATCAGGAAAAAACATTTTGAGCATTGAAATTTCGTAATGAATAAAAACATAGAAAAAAGAACATTTCGCCTTGAAACCTATTTAAAATGCACATATTTGTTCGAGTTTAATTGTATTTGCATCATTTCTAAGTTGTCACTCATAAATTATACTTTTATACGTACAATTATTGAGTTGACAAGGTGCAGAAACCAGACTGAGTGTGTAAATTAAGTCTCAATACTTTTATCTTTGATATGATATAATATGGTAAAAAGACATGAAATAAACAATCAATATAATAAAAATATAAGGAGAATTATATACCATGTTCCATTTGACGTATGTATGCTGTTGTTTTATAGGTGAGATTTCTTCAAGATAAATAGATGTCAAGACTGCTTTTTTTGTGGTCGTCTAAATAAATTTGATCAATGAGAAAACTTTCTAAATCAGTTTCGCCAGTTAGAATGTTTATCAGCTAGGTAATGTCACCCTAATCTAAGAGTTTTGAAACTAAGCCGGTAAATATGTATATACCCCCCGACACATGCAATTTGAACAAACCAACTATTATGCCTTTATAAACAAATGGTTGTTGGAAAATTGATTGTGTCTTTGCTCTTAACTCTTGGGATTCTTTAGCAGATACTACATTTAAATCAAGGGTGTTTAAAAGTTCATCCCGTGTAGAAAACAATAAGTTTACTTTGAAAGACATAAACTTTGCACTTGATCGACATTTATTTTCAAGGAACTGTTTTATAAGAATTGTAGGAGACATGGCTAGGTCATCATGCACTGAGGTTCGAGAAACAGAGACATATAGATTTCAATTTTTATCTGGTTGCCCCTTCGTTGGCCTGTCAGAAGACAGATTTAATTGCTATGTGCCAAAATCTTGTTTATATATCGTTCATCAAAAATGCTCGTTAGACCCTATCCATAAGCGGCAAATCTAATTTTGGAACCGCGTCTTATATAAAAATTAACATTTTGATTGGTCAGAAATTACAGAATTGTATATTTTTAGGAACAATACTCATCAGGCACGTCCCCTCACATCGCGCACCAAAACCGCATTCGAAAAGGCGACTTGGCGAGCGAAGCACGCATAAATGTAAAGTTTCATATTTTAAGTGGTTTGGGATAAAGATTGCATTGTTCAGTAAGTTCACAATATTTACTTTTACTAAGTTGTAGTATTTTTTCAATTTATAAAATACATTTCTATTTACATTTTTGTAACCTTTAGAATATTCAAATGTTTCTTTTTTTGTCAAGAGACAGAGATATATTATTTTTTGTTCAAGATATTTATGTTAAGGGCATATTGACTTTAAATTGTTATAGACGAAGTAATTCTGTTTGCTTATTGTTATTTACTGAAATTCATGTATTGTTATTGTAAGTTGGTTATCAGATAACCGCTGGACTAGCTGTTTAGTAGGATTATTGTTGTCTACAAATAAACATAAGAACGAGTATATTGCACTGCAGAGTTTCACTTATCCCACGAACGACTTTAACGACTTTTACGGCTGCGCCGTGCATGGGCAGTCCCGTACAAGAATATTCAAATGTTACATTTTTACGGTGTTTATCAATATTTGAAATACTTACAAAAAATGTGTCCATTATGGACCAATCAACTTTAATACACATATTATAAATATTTTCCTTGAATTCTTAACATTATGTTGCTCAAACAGAATTTGATACATCAGGGAAAATCAAATCAGAATAATTTATAGATGTTGAAATACTTACTACAGTCTACAATTGAAATGGATTTGAATTCCTCTTGTTTGATATGTACAATTATATACAAGTCGGCTAAAGTTTAACAGTTTCATTGTAAAATGCACCTAATGGCATTGCTGCACTTCCATTTGATTACAATTCTCGCTAACTACTGCTCCATTGAATAATTGAATTAATTCATTCATTAATTCATGCATTCGATCAACCAGGTAATGATTTAAATACATTTTGATGCATGATATTACAAGGATTTGAAAGAGGTTGAACGAGTTTTATTTATTTCATTTATGATGCTACGGAGGAGTGATAATTGACATAATTTATTTAATATTAGTGTTGGTGTGGTTTTTTTTTCTTTCTTTCTTCCAAAATTTAAAATGACGCGACATGTGAATGAAAATATGTTCAACTATTTTGCTTATCTGATTATTATTCAATAAGGTTCAATCAAATCATCTGTTTAACTTATAGTTCCACACTTTTTATGCTTTCTCAATAATCAAGTTAAAAAGTTGTTTTAAAAATGGATTATTCTTATGACGCAGTTGGTGGTAAAATGCACGGCATGAATGTTAAAGTGCCATCTACAAATGATGACATTATAAAACATATTATTATGTTATAAATGGTAGTTAACAAGACTTCACTTTTGATAAGATATTTGTATATTATGGATATTTGGGATATGTTGTCTAAAAAACGTTGACTTGTGTTTCCCATTCTTCACGTGCGCTATAATATTTAAAATATTATTTTTTTCATTTTTTTGTCAGAAGACCTTTCTGTGAACTGATTTGCTCCATATGACTAAGGTTAATGCGATTCTGGAAATATGGATTTATAGTTTTCTGCCATAAATTAGGATGTATACAGTTCAAGTAAAGTTTATTTGATTGTATCAATTTCTTTATGACTGTAAAACAGAGTGTGGCGACGTTTGTTTTACATATATATTACATACATTTTTATGTGTCTTGTCTATTATTAAAATCGCTGAGCATTAAAGGCTGTTATTTAGCAAGTTTTGAATATAATATTTGCCATCATATTCAATATTTTGATAATCATGCATTACGCAAGGGCCAATTTACATAATCATGTTATTTATAAAATCGATAAGTGTATGTATAACAGTTACATATAATTTCAATATAGGTTAAATAATATTTAAACGTTAATATAACTAAATATTTTTAAATTAGTTTCTACATAAAGTGCAATTAAATTGTTTTACACCACCGCTGACAATTAATGATGAAATGTTCAATGATTTAAATAAATATCAATCCGGCCATTCAAAAAGGTTGTGTATAGTTTGATAATAATACTATTTTACAGATAAGCTCTATATCTTTAAACCTTTATTCATCAAAACTACTGTAATAATTAAATTATTACTTTGGCAAGTTAAACAAACAAAAACAGTATATGTACGTTATACGATTAAAAATTAAACACTTAATTAACGGGCGTGATAATATTTAAAATAAGTTTTGTTGATTTTGTCAAAAATACATTTTATGATTTTAAATAATATATATGTATATTTACAAACATAAATTACGCTAAATTATCTTAAAGTTTTTATTTTTATTAATGGTAAAACACGTATTTTTTAATCTATTTTTTGTTTAAATCATTATTTTGAAGCTGACTTAAAAAAATATGATTTTAATCGTCATTCTTAAATTATTAATCAAATGCCAGTTTTATAAAGATAAATATCTCACTGATTTTCTTTAAGGAGAATGGAAGGAAAATTGTCTTATATCTCTAACAATTGTTGTGTGGATATTTTCTATTTTGATTACGTTGTGTTAGACGAAATTCTTAAAAAGCAAAGAAGATATTAATATTACACCAAATTTTAATTTTTGTACTTTAAATATTGACAAACATTGGCATAACATGGTTTGACACGAGGGTGTGATAGGTTTGATATTATATCGCCCTTTACAAAATTAATTCTAGTCCGGTCAGAATTGCTTCACTATCAATAAAGAAATATCAGCATAGGAAATAAAATGCAAACATCTTAAACTGCTTCATAATATTTAATTATACCATTTACATTTGTTTTCAAATGCGGAATTATCTTGATTGACCATAAAGGGAATGGACCAGGAAAAGCAACAATCAGATTGTACGCCAAATACGCATGTTGGTGCCGTTGGTGCCTTGCGTGGAAAGATTTTAAAGGCCCCATTCAACTGTTTTAAATGCATCTTATCATATTCGTTAATGTAATCATTGCAAACATTTCTATTCAAATAATTTCTGTCACGGAATCATTATGAATATTGAAAGAGCAATAAATAGAAATGGATTGTCCTTTAGCCGAGCTTTAAAGAGCATTGGACCTGATATTGATCCGATTTATTCAAAAGACACGTTTCATACAAAAGACTAGTTAAACAATAATTATCCATAACGAAACACTTGACGATTTGACTTGTCTGGCAACTAACCGAGAAACATATCTTACAAGAAATATCTTTAAAATAAGATACTCGGCCGAAGTAAAACTACATGTAGTTAGCATGCCAAATTATGTTATTTTTAAGTGTTCAAAACAAAAAGAAATGTTAGCAGTGCTTGCATTAAAATGACATGATAATTATTTCTTGTAGCTAAGAAATACCCATTTTGTAAACATTGAAATTAAATTATTTATATTGATGCAAATATTTATATTGATGATTTTTCAAAGTAGAACAACTTCTTTTTTAGGTGTCTCTTAAACTTATTTTACGTTCGACTTTATTAATTTTGTATTTATTTGCAAATTAACCAAACAGTTAAAGAATCTTTTAATAATTTCCATTTTGTCTTTTTTTACTTCATTAAAAATGCTCGCAATTTTTTGTGAAGTTCTACCCACATCGGCTTCTTTACTTGAAAACAAAACAACATTGAATTTATATACATGTGTAATAAAACGTTTCAGCTAAAGTATTCTGGTTTTGTTTAAATTTAAGCTATGGAATTAAGAAAAACAACTTGCAATTATATTTCGTGTAATTTTAGCGTTGATACCACGTTATTATCAATTCGATTAAGAATTAAAATCACCCCATCTTTCGTGAAAAAAAAACAATCTTGTCATCTCATCTCCTTAGCGTGCTATTTGACAGCAATGCATATTGCCTCGGTCTTTATATTCCTGATTTTATCATCCGCTTGAAAGGTATTTAAGTATAACATGACGAGATAATAAACTTGATAACGTCTTTCCTTAGTTCTTACAGGGAAGTGGACTATAAACAGACATCATAGATTAACTTAAGCAATGAAACGTGCTGGTTTGTTTGATTACAGAACGCTAAGTTGTCATTAAATATTTATATCTAATCACGTTGCCACATAAAATCACTGTTAAAATGATAAATTGATGAGTTTGAAATGAAATAAGACGCTTATCTAATACATCTAACATTTTTTATATTTGCCTTATCATCGCCGCAAAGGGAATAAGCTTCCTTGATATAATTATATTTAGGCAGTATTATCAGATAGGTTTTTTCTATTCTATTACAGCACTCGATGATTGAAAACATACAATGCATTATAGGGAAGAATATACATGTAAACGTATAGATATAGCAGGCCATTGTTTCTTTTTCTTAAGGCAATAAGGCATTTACGTCATTAGTTTTTATTGTTGTTGTTTGTTTGTTTGTTCGCTTTATTTTTTTTTATTTTGTTATTATTCCAGGAATAAATTTAAGTCCGTTTTTTGAAGATACTTTCAACTTTTCAATTTACGTAATAGAGTCAAAATAAAAAGGTTGTATGCATGAGAAATTATTATTACTCCACAAATGATATAATAAAAATGCAAGTGCAATCTAACTGTACAAACTACTTTTCTTCTTGAGACTTGTCAAAATCCGTACAGAGTTACGTCTTTAAATACTACAAGTGTTTAAATAAATTTGTGAGAAAAGAAATGGGTTCATAAAATGTGTGAAAGATGAGTCATCTTATTTTACCACATAGTTTATTTATCTGATAATACGGCACGTTCAAGTTTCTCCTGATATTACGAGGAAAAATAGGGCTGTGACATTTCACAGATACTACTTTATCTGAAAGTGTTTCTAATGCATTTTTTATAAAGAATTTCTTCTTTTCCAGCTGGTAACTTGTTCCAATCAACACTTGCACCAGAATTCCTACCAGCACCTTTCAACGTAAGCTTTCACGTAGGAGACTCGGCTATGTTGAGCTGTGGTATAAACAACTTAGGGACGAAAACGGTCAGTGTAATTTATTTATTTTTTGTTTGTTTTGATGCTGTCAACAATATGTGTGTTTTCCGACACCTCAGTTATCTAACCTTACTGAATAATTTATTATGTAAATAAGCAGCTATAAGTATACCGTTTTTTCTTCATTATATTTTATAAAATATACAGTTTTTCTCTTATTACATGTATTATTTAATAACGTATTCCGCTTTTCTCTTATCATTCAATAAATTTTACCGTCATTCTCTTTTTTATTCTAGAAAGTATACTGTTTTTCTCCCATTTTTTATAATTATTTGTAATATTTCTTTATATCCAAATATCTGCACACCTCTAACTCTGATAAAGAAAATTACCCCTTAATGTGAAACAAGCTTGAGCATAGGTAGAATAAACATTCAAAAAGAATTTTAACTTCCATATGAAACAAGCTTTTTCTGCGACAAAAATTGAAAAAAAGGTGTAACTTCAACTGTGTATGCATAAAAATGGCCGAGATTCATATTTTTCATTTGCACACTTTTGATAAAATTATTTGATAAATGACATTTAACTCAATAGAAACAAAGAAATATTTAGAATGCGCAAAAGTGTATTGAAATGAAAAATATTCTTACAATTCACTATTATGTGTTTTTAAAAGCACATTCAACCGTTCGAAATGATATAAATTATCATTTTTAAACAGAAATATAAGATAAATCTATGTTTTGCTATGTTAATCAAATACAATGATTCGTACAATAGTTATATGCACTACAATGCATTGAGAATAGATCAAAGAAGAAATAGTGATAAAGCAAGCATTTTAACAAGATTCCTTTTTGTCTGAGATGCATTATTCATAAATCATTTGATATCAGGTAATCGACAAAATGATTTTTTCCGAATTGTTTCCGTATCTTAGCCTAAATAAAACTAGCAGAAATTGGGACTTAGTTCAAATCTGATAAGATCCCAGCAAGTTGCCTTGTATGAAGCCACTGTTTGGCTGGCGTTTTTGCATATTTCAAATGCCCGCAAGATAAACAAAATATAATATGATTATATTCACAGAAACCTGTTGATTGCAGCAACTTTAATGAGGTCCCTGGTGATCGATTGGAAACAAATTTGGTTTTAATGCATTAATCAGGGACATATGTTTAACACATTAAAACATAAAGTAAATATGTTTTCCCCGTATTTATAGAGCAACATGAAAGTTAAGAAAATTTAATGGAAATCTAAAATTAAATCCTCGTTTGTATCAACTTATCTTTTAAGATTACTTTCTTGCAAATATCAGACAAATTGACGTTTCATCACAGTTTTCATAACATTCAGAAAATATCTTTCACTTTAAAGTGACATTATCTTCATTTTTCGTTGTCAAGTTGAGTAGAATTAGTAATGTATTTCTAAATTATAAAAAAGACTGCACGAATGAATGATGTTCATCGAAAACCCCGTTGCTCACATGGATTACTGATTAATTTTTCATAGTTGAATATAGAATATGAAGACAATCATGACAAAACTCAATGTTACCTATTCACTGACCATTTATTTTTGGATGGGCATAATGTCACTCTAACTTGACAACAACTTAGTAGGATTTTTTTAAGTTTTAACTGCATATATTTATAACAGAATGTTAAAGAATAGATAATGTTTGATGGTTGACATTTTAAGAAAAAAAAATGCGTGTTCGTTTATGACTGGTCACTGTAATAAAGTAAGCTTATCTTAAGGTTGAACCATACATTGACACAACATAATAACAAATATTTACAAACATTGTTTTGCTTGGGAAGTACAAGTTTAATGTGTATTTGTTTCAAATATGTCCGCTATTGTACACAATTATACCTAAACTAAGTGTTTTCCGAATACGTATTATACACAGTGTTATAATAACATTTTCTTTTACATATATCGCTTTCATTCAAATATTTGAAACAGGTGTTTTGATACAATGAATAAATTTCTCAAACGTTATAGACCTAAAATGATAAGAGCGTGCATTCTTGAAAATATTTTCTAGACCTTTGCCAAATACTATCACAAACTTCGGGAAAGTAGATAACACTGTTCTTTCGAATTAACTGGTTCATTTTTTACTCATACCAATGTGTTCTGATAATGTTTCCGTAGAATATTTTGATTTTTGAATGAGTACATGTAAAAAAAAACTCTTGTATAGACTTTATAACTGGTTTATGAATGATGTCGGAGTTGTTTGTGTCAACTAAGCAATCTTGAAGGTTTTATGTTATTTCTTATCTATGCGGAACAGCAATGGTGTTGAAATACTAAACTGTATCATTAGCTATGGCTGATATCCTACAAAATGTAAATTGCAATAAAAAATCAGCATATTGAAGATATTATCACCTTTATAGACAAAATGTAAACATAATTTCAATTTGCTATTTTCCTAATAATGTTGATGCTGTATTAAACATCTGGAAGAAGGGATATTCCTCGTAAGTATAATCACTACAAAATGACATAAAAATTGCAGTCTCGGTGTGATGAGTCTTTACATGAGGGATAAGGAAACAAATGCAACACTCACGATCCTAGCTCTGACTTCAGCGATACTCAAATATTAACTCTTTAAAGTGTTGGAATCAATAAACGCATAAATTTATAATTTATAATTATCAAACAAAAAGTTATGTGATGTGCGTCTAATTCCACAAAAATCAATGTAAGTTATATACTCGTTTTACATGTTTTAAAGAACGGTAATCATCCAAATAGAACTGAATTCGTAAATGTTACTACTTTGATGACGATAAGTATGATCAGAGTTACATAACACAAATATACACATATATCTCAATATTTATTTTGCGGGGGAAAATCGTTTAAATAGAATATTCAATTATGTCAATTATTGTGATATTTTCTGCAACATCTTTTTTATTCAATATCTTGGCCTTTTTGTCATTGTATCTTGTCCTCTATTTTTAATCAATAAGAAAGACGTGTATGATAAAAGCCTCATTTTACTTTAACAGGTCGTATGGCGGCGCCTCGACAGCTCATTTCCACTTACTTCCGGTAAAATGACAGTTATTGACGATAAGCGTGTCCGAGTATCTCACGTGGTACACAAGAACCAATGGGATCTAATGATTAAAGATGTTAAACTGGAGGATGATGGCGTTTATGAATGTCAGATTTCTTCCAAAGATAGGACGGTCAGGAGATTGGTTACACTTCATGTGTTTGGTAAGGGTATACCGTGAAGTCTATAAATTAATCATGATTTTGTACAGCTTCGTTGTCAGTCAACGTTTGAAGATTTCTGTAGTATATTAAAAATTATCTGTCTGTGCAAATTAATGATTTTCCTAGAGAAATATCACTCACTACCTTTGAATATGGTACAAAATGTTAAGTAATATATAATATCTTTTGTATTATTTTGGCATGTTGTATAAATGTAATCTGGATAAAATATCAAACAACATGTTTAGCCAATAAAGTGTAATTGGCATTAACAAATATTCGCAAAATAGAATAAACTTTCCGGTATATATAGGTAAAATGGTGTTAAAAAATAACAATAATATTCAGTTGATATCCAATGTAGAAAGTATTATAAATCAAATCAATCATATCCGATTTAGTAAAACTAAATCAATCATGAACCTAAACAAATTCTAATCGAAGTAAACAGGAAATAATAAATATAGATTAACATCTTGACATTTAATAATAATAAACAATATCTTATCTTATCTTATACTCGTATATAAGTTAATTTCGCATACAAACATGTTGTTTTCAGAACCAAAAGTAGAAATTCCTGAAATAAATATTACAGAACCACAGTATGTAGAACGAGGAGAAACAATTACATTACAATGTAACGCCACGGGTGAAAGCTATCCTCCGGATGAAATGGACTGGTTCCGAAATGGACAAGCAATTACATCAGATACTAAGAGAGGAATTCACATATCAAAACAATATTCAATATCAAAACGTAAATTCACTAGTGTTTTAAAAATAGACAGAGCAGAAATGAAGGACGACGGAACTTACGTGTGTCGATCGTCTAATATGCAAATTACAAGTACCAAAGTAATTGTTTTAAATGGTAAGTAGCATTTCGTAGAAGGCATTTTCTTTATTTATATATGATCTCGTTTTATCCATGATTAATTACTATTCTTCCAAAAATTGAGACTTCGGTAATTTTCCCCCTACAAGATATTCTAATTTTATTGTAGTTTTTTTTTTTTCTTCATATAATTCTAACATAACACCTCACATACACTCTTGCTGTAGGCTTTGATTTTCTTTCTTTATCCATTTTGTCTTTAAAGAATCTTAGGCAATTTGTTAGAAGCGTAATGATATAATCCTATGCATGCAACTAATTCATAAAGGCCTTAGAATCGCGTCAATTTAAATAAAACTTGATAGGGAGGAGATGACGATTGAATCATCTAGGACTAATGTAAACTCTATATATCCAGTCTGATACGTATGTTTAAGTTGTTGAAATAAAAGAAAAAAGATGAAATATTCTTAAATTTTAAATAAAGATATATAGGATTGCGACAGTAGGATACAGAATAAAACAGCAAAATACGAAAATTTAAATAGCGAAAATAATCTCCTATGAAAAAAGCGCTAATTTTTTTCATTATTTTGTCTTAATAGAATCATTTTGATGCGACAAAAAATTCAAATACACGGGTCTGCGTACTTGTGGTGAATTCCCAAGCACTAAAACTTCAAGGAGGTATAAAAATAGCAGATAAACACCACCTGTATTATAATTATTTTTCTTCTTTTTTCGAATTTTACTAATTGGGGGTATGTCGTCTCTAAATACACGTTTTGTGCACAAACGCGAAGACTCATACTTAGCTAGAATTAAATCAGATAGTATGTACTTTTTCTAAATTATTACTGTACATATACTGTTGTATGTATGGTATTTTGTAATATCTATATCTCCAGGACTAGTAAAATGATATCATATTTTTTTAATACCGCCAAGTTTCTTGGAAAAACAATAGTATGTTAAATGGCTAAATGGGTTTCATCAAACGGTACATAGCTGTCTCTTTTCTGTCAACAGAAATCTCACTTACCATCAATCACTTCTAGAAAAACGTACTCGTTAATCAAATAATGCTTTAATTACAGTTTTCCTCGAATTAATGTCTTAACAAAGACGGATTTCTTGGTTTTAATTAAGAAGATTTAGACTTATTAATTAATAAGGGAAAGAAAGTATAGGAAAGATGGATGTTTATTTCTTTTGATATCATAATTAATTCAGAACGCATTTGAAAGACTGCTTTTAGTTTAGCTTAATTTTGTTATTTATCTGTCAGTTTAGAAATTGTTTTGAAAGTTAGTAAGAAGCGGTTTCTTTCTTCTGAGAGACAATACAAAATCATTATTTATCATTGGTGACAAGAAAAATTATTTCAAAAATTAAAAATATAATATACATGTATAATAACTATTAAGAAGATCTTTTGAAGATAAAGAATAATTTCTTTGTGATGTGACTCTTTCTTCTAGTATATTTGATATTGAACATTATAATATAAATTACGATTTTGGACAATGCATGAAGATCTTAATGACCATTTCTGTTCTTGTAGACCCGAAGAAATTCAGAAGACCTGTTTAACGTCATCATGTGATGTATTTGTCTTTTATATGCCGGTAGAAATCCTTTCATTCATCAATCTAAGTCGCTTTTTTCATTCTAGAAAAGTAAACCAATCAGTCAAGTAACAACTTAATTACCAATGTTTCCTTAATCAATACTAACTGCAAGACATTAAGACATATCTTTCCAACAACATCAACAATACAAGTACTAAACAGCGTTAAACATTGCTTGTTATCAATACCATAGATTCATTACAGTTATATTACATTTTAATACAAATGTGTATATTTCGAATGTCTTTGCTGGACAAAACATTATAATTGCTCTATATTGTAGTTGAAATTATAACATACCTTTTTTCATTTTTCAATTATTCTGCAGTCGGTCTGGTAGCCTTTGGTATAAAATATATCTTCAATGGCAATTTATTAAGTTTAAATGTTTGAACATATGGCCGCCTTTGTGTGGTTCAACTTGAATATTTGTTAAAAAGCTTAAAGATATACTATGCTCATCTTTAAGTGAAACAATTTAATCACATATTTGTTGAAATCTATGACATTCTAACTGAATATGTCTAACTTGAATAAAAGTATGAATAAACTGTGTATTGGAAGCTGCATTTCCTGTTACCAGTCAAGTAAAGTTGGTCTTTCCTTAAAAAAAACTGCCAGTTGTTTTTTTAATGACACTATATATTCATATTATGACCACCTATAGTTTGTAGAATTTTAAACACAATATATCTACTTTGTATGAAGGCAAAACCTTTTTATTTTATGTTTACAAAGAGTCTGTGTAGCAATTATCAATATTTTCGAATATCAAATTTGAGCATAGTATATCTTTAAACAAACATCGTTTCAATATATAAAAGGTCCATTTAAAGTGGTCAACTACTAGTATAAACAAAACAATAATATACATTTTCGAAACAGGTCTGACCTTCACAAAAAGATAACTGTTTTGCCCATGTAATTTTCTAACATGTTGATAAATATTGATGGTCTGTGAAGTGCTGACGTTTTAGAACATGCATCAACATCAATAATCATAAAGCATTTGATATTTATTTTACAAATACTACCCCTAAAGCATGCAGATTTGTAATACATGTAATTAAATATTGATAATTTAGAATGTTGAAATGTGAAATGTAAGTGATTTAAACATATCCTTTAGTGTTTACAAAATAATTCCTCCAAGTAATCAAATATAGATAAAGACATTTCTCTTACACAGTCAGTAAAGGGATAAAATAATAGTGTTTAAATTGCTAAATACAAAGTTTTGCTTGAATTGTGATTGTGTGTTTTCATAGCTTTAATGTTTTTGTAACATTTTACGTGTCGATTTAACTGTATTCAAATAATTTCATAATCCAAGATTATTTTCATTATTTCATTCGTTCTTATTTCATTTTTCATATACTTATTTTTATACAGAAAATATAGCCATACCATTACACTTGTCTGATACAAACATAACTATGATCATATTTCCACAACTAGCATTTAAATAATAACTTTGAATGTTATGTGTATTTCCTTCGTTATATAATGTTACAGAAGCAATTAAGTATATGTAATGTGCCTTTTATAAGAATTATAGTTATTATAGAAAGTAGGGATTGGACAAAAATATATATCTTTATTAATTTTTCAGCTGAAACATCTCCAAGAAAAAGAGGTGAGTCGAAATCTAGATTTTAAATATTTTTTGAAAAGGCATTGTTTATATCGCCTGAATATCTGCAGCTGGTTGTTTCTTGTAAAAGGCTAAATAAATGAAACTGTCTTCGGAAGTTGTTTTGGTATTTTGATTCGTTTTGCCGGAATGATCTATCAAAATACAAGAATAAAGAAAAACAAACTATATTCGGGCGATGTTACTGTGCCTTTTTAATGTACGTTCTTTCATTATTCAAATTTGAATATTACAACGATATTATTTCTTTTAAATATCACAGCAATTCCTGCTCTACTTCCAGTCTGTGAGTACTTAGTAGTACCCTTACCTGATCACATATCAATCACATTTGTAGGGCTCTGATTCAATCACGTATACATCATTTGCGTATCAAAAATAAATATACCTAAACTACTCACACCGCAACCATTCACATACATGTAATCATTAAGAACATTATTCAATATTCGCACATATTTTTCACATATCATTGTCCATATGGCACGTTTGAAACGCCACTTAAAAAGGACCTGCACGAACACGGAAATACACGAAAACTACACCTTTCGAGAATATCATGTATATCGAGAGATTTATTTCATTTAAAATCGGACTGAAGTTCAAGACATACATTTTGGCCATTTACATTCAGAACACAATAATTATTAGGTATTCGAAATTTTGTATTCATCAAACACTTTACAACACTGTTTTTCTTTCTTAATTTTATCACTTACATATACATATTTATACATATCTATCAAATGAATGTATTGTACAAAATGCTTTGAGTCATACTGTGATCATTTTTATTCTAACTCACTCTACACTTCATTGCTGCTGCTGTTGTTTGCTGCTGTTGACACAAACAAAAACAAGAATTCAGAAATTCCGTGAACAAATCAATTTTATGCATTGTGATTTTAAATCTTAACACAAAATGCTGTGAAATGTGATACATGATTTAAAGTTGCGTTAATATGATTTATGCGTTATAAAAGGCTGAGTTTAAGAACATTTCCATTAGGATTCCTTGTTTTAGCACTTGTCCTTGAGCTTTTCCTCGAGACGTTTTTAACGCATCTTGAACTGACAACAGCATGCAAACTCTGGAGAACCATGTAATCGCCCCTATGCTCATGTCTCTGAAGGTTTTAAAAATCAATCATTTCTAATAATTTTAAATTGTCTGCTTTGATAATTTCCGGCTAATGGCATTTGCCGTATCTAAATATGGCGATATCGGCATACGAATGGTACAAAAGGCTCGAATATATCGTAACATAACCGTGCATATCTAGTAACAAAGGAATGTGAAAATAAAACATGTATTGTACTATAGAAAGGCAGAAGCAATTCTATGTCCGAGACGAGCACCATAGTATGGAGATGAACAGATATGTTTAATATTTAATCAGATTGAAAGAAATGAATAAGCGCCAATGGTTATTGAGAGTATAAATTTTGAACCTCATAAAACTATTTTCAGGGTCAAGACCATTCGTGACGTTGAGGATCTGGCTAAAATTTTTAGTTTTGTCGATATTATTTAACAAAATCACGCATATATTTTATTATTGATTTTTATATTCGGTATACCGGAGATATTTGCCAAACTACTGGTATTGTACTGATTTAGCAGATTAAATGTGATTGAGACCATTTTGACGAGGTAACGTCGATTTCGTGAACGGTGAACTAAAGCATCACTGGCTACCCCATAAAAGTATCTGAATCATTTTTTCTATTCATTCTGCTACTATTGTATGACACTAGTAGTTTGGCAAATGTTTAAGGTAAACCATATATCAAAAACAGTAACGTTTTCAATGCATATCAATTTACTGAATTATATCGATGAAACGCAACACGGCAGTCAGTGCTTCATTCACAGGAATGATCCCTAAAGTCAACATATTCCTGAACATCTTAGAAATGCTGGTTAATTTTTAATGTCATATCAGCCGGATATTTTTCTTCATTTCTTTTAATGTGACTTTCTTTACTGTGTAAGTTCGTTTACCTACCGTGTTATTCGTTTTGGACAATGCAACATTTGAGATAAAATATTTATTAAACTTAAAACATAGTAGCCTTAAATATTTTGATCTACCCGTAAATAAGTACGTTTTCTGCGTTATTGTAAAATGACAAGAATTTCAATAAAGAATTGAAACTTTGTCAAATGTGTTTTTGTAAATAATGAACGATGTTCAATAATTCTCTCTGTTAAGGTTTATTTTCATTTACATGATTATTTATATGAAAATATAACATCTAATGCATATCGAATTTTGCTTTATAGGGACAGCTGGAGGATCAAAGAGTGATGGAGGAGAATCTAATTCATCAAGTCATACAATGGCAAATTCTACAGAGACATACCTGCTCAATATTGTGTTAATTTGTATTACTGTATTTTTACAAGCAAAACAGTACTGCCCATCGTGATACACGCCTTCTGCATTATATTTGATAGACTTAAATTTGGCTTTCCTGATTATGCCTAGACATAGAGAATATTCAAGAACATTTAAATATTCAAGTTTTAAGAATTCAAAAAATTGTCTTTGATTGAGGAAACGCAAGTCACGGTTATCTTTTAACAATGAAGCAGTTGAAATGTGCCGTTGATTCTCCTCGTAGCACAAACAGGGAAATATGTGACGATAATTGTTTATTGGTGCCATTGGCGTGTGATAAGTTGAACCTCAAGTAAAAGATTGCCTTGTTAAATGAAAGTGCTGCTGCAATAAACAGCAAGATATTGAATAGATGAAGTGAATACTATTATGTGAGTAAATTGAATACAATTATGGTGAATAATGAACGTGATTTTTTGGAAATAAACTGCGTATAAAGACATGTTAATAATTATATTCAATAAATTGAAATAATTTGTATTAAAGACACGAAAGAAAAGTTTGTTCAGCCAATTATGGGTTTGGAAATGATATGATATTAGCTGAAAATGACAGCTTTATTTGCTGGGTAATGTATTCGTCCATACAATATTATGGAAAAGTCCATACAATATTATGGAACATTTAATCACTTCATGAACATATGAAATGTTATGTTTAAATGTTGTAAATATATTATTTGATGGTGCCTCATCACTACGCGACCAAATGATAAGCATTTTAGATTAAGTTATGAATCAGGATATGAACTGTTGAAGTACAATTATATACAATTCAACCATCAACATGTATGTATATACATTTTTAGCATAGATTTGTTATTATATATCCTTTAACTTTCGCGTTTTAGATAGAGGTCATCAAATGAAAACATAATCGCTAAGAGTGAGAACAGGCTATACGTGATTAAAATACTATGTGATGAACGTAATACAGTTGAACTCTTTACAGACAATTGAAAATAGTCCTGCTATTTGGTACTGTTATTTTAAATAGACGGTAAAATATATTATGAGTTTGACGATGTTTTTATTAAACATCTTCCACGCTTTGTATTATGTAATTGAGGATGGTCTAACAACTTATACATTTATATGCCACCGCAGCATCCGCGATGCGGTGGCATATAGCGATTCACCTGTGTGTTTGTTTGTGTGTGTGTGTGTGTGTATAGACTTAAAAAATCTTCTGGTGAAAAACCACTAGTCCAATTTCAACCAAACTTGGCAGGATTGTTCCTTGGGTGAAGGCCTTCCAAAGTTGTTCAAAGAATTTCATTCCATGCAGAATTCTGGTTGCCATGGCAACCAAAAGGAATTATAAGAATAAATTTAAAAAATCTTCTTGTAAAGACCCAAAAGGCCTAGAGCTTAGATATTTTGCATAAGGCATTGTCTGGTAGACCTCTACCAAGATTGTTCAAATTATACCCCTGGGGTCCAAATCGGCCCCGCCCCGGGGGTCATTGATTTTCACTATATGTACATATAGTAAAAACTTAAAATACCTTCTTGTCTGAAGGTACCAGGCTTAGAGGTTTGATATTTGGTATGTGTTATTATCTATAGGTACTCTACCAAAGTTATTCAAATTTTGCGTCTAGTGTCAAAATTAGCCCTGCCCCGGGGGTCATAGGTTTTCCTCATATGCGGTGGCATAGCATTTTTTACAAATGCAATCTTGTTAATTTTGTTTTCAGGTAAATGAGTCATGTCTTTATGAAACGACCAGATTAAAAAGAATGCAGAATACCTTAAAAATCATTTTAATCAATTATCACCAAATATAGAGGATTTTTGTTGCTGTTTTGTTTTGTTTCATAAAATACTTAACATTTGTATATGTGCAGTTTGCTATGTAGCTCAGTGTCTTGTTTCGCTGGGCGGTTTTTTAGAGCAATCATCTAATTTATATTTTTTGTTGACCGATGATTACTATTATGTTATACTTACATTGTTACACTTTTGTTAATAAAGTTTGTGAATGATCTTCTATATTGAGCCCTCTTTCTCAAACCGAATTCATTTTTCGTTTTACATTCAATTCAAAAGTCTGGAAGAATGTGATCTATTGGAAGCATTAATCACAACACAAGTACATGGAATCTACAGGCTCTGTTTAATTTAGACTGTTCATGAGGGATAATGAAAACGTGTAACATACCTCACGCCCACTCTCATCGGCTTCAGCGGTACTCAAAGACGAAATTTATCTGTAATCTTTGTGCGCAAGAATGACATATTGGAAACGTAAATGGGCTTTATTTGTTTTGTTTTGTCTTAAATAAAACACAGGAAAGACAGAAATTCACAAACTTTTTAAATGGACATTATTCCCATCCAAGTATAAGTATAAATTGTGAGTGTAATTGTAAATAGAAAACTGAAACAATTGGGGCAGTTTTTTTATATTCATGGTAGTTTTCCCCCTTAACGTTGCCATAATCAATTATCGGTCAATGAATAGTTTAACATTCAATTTCGTGAAATATAAATCTAATTCAATTCCATCTTTCAGCAAAATTGAGCATAATGTTACTTTAAACGAGCATAATGTTACTTTTACCTATTATTTAAAGTATGCTACTTGCTTTTCTTAATTTTGATCAAAAGTAAATAAAAGGACCATACTCTATACTTTAACATTATTAAAATGTAACTTGCTTACATACATGTACCTGTATTTTCTATCAGTAATTGATGGATTGTTCGTATAATTAAGTTATCAGATATATCCAAACGAAGCGTATATTTTTTGTAAAGTGAACTTGATCTCCCTGTATAGTCAGTTATGCTTTATTCCATCCTCTCTAGTTGACCTTCCTGTATTGTCCTTAGAATATTTTTAATGTTAATTTTGATAGGTGTATGTGACTGAAACGAATATTATCCCCTTCCAAAGTACTGTCAAAGACAGCTACATTATTTCTATTTGTGACTATTCACTGCCTTTTATGAATGGGACATCCAAGTTGAACGCAGTTTACCTGTAAATATGAATAAATTCAACATGACATCAATTTAATACATATTATAGATGAAGTCTGTGAAGGCTGTCGCATGAGAGCATGCTCATGTTCAAACCGAGCATTATCGTTTTTTTTTTAATTCAGCCACATTGGGCGACCAGTCTTTTCGGATCCTCGTTGGATTATTACGTGTTTTAGCTTTCTCCCTAAAAATCAAAATGACTTATTTAGTTGTTTAAGGTATTTGACATTAGATATCTTAATTGCATATTTTGTATAAGAGAAAACAGCTTTCAAATTTGATTATATGCAATGGAGTTTGTACTCATATTTTGATTGATTTGTAATTCACTGGATGGGAATATTCGCGTTAGAATAGTTTCTTATTACATAACTTCATGAAAGAAAGACATTACAACTGTAGAATATTTAGGCACGATAATAGATAACATGGGAATAATTATCATGAATATTTCAGATCATTCTAGCTATAAATCCCTATATTATATAATTTTAACAGAAATAAACCGATAATTAATGTATTCTGAGTATAAATAGATTCTGCTTAAAAGTACACGGTGATGTTCTCACAGACATGTTCTTAAAAGGGTTAAATTGAGTTAAATAGAAGATAGCGTATAAGCGCAGGGCACATTTGTTAACAAAAAAGTCAATGAACCGAATCAACTTTGAGACAAAACGTATCAACATTTACTGTTCCATTTCGTATTGCCATGAAAGATTTAGAGCCGGATGGTTATTGGTCTACGGGGGACAACTCTCCGTGGAACATGCAAACAACTTTATTGTTCAATTACGTGCACTTCTATATAACCTGCTAGATAAAACACTGAATATCTCTTTCTACAAACAGTTTGTCCTTTCTTCACTTTTGTATTGTGGTAATAAAACAATTCGTATATATCTATACTTATATATCTTAAAGTTTCTTTCTTTAAATATAAACAATAAAATGTTGGGTACAAATCAAGGATATGTCGGGAAAAGTCATGTTGCACGTTTTATACATTGTACGAATACAATTAAGTTTTAAATAGACAGTAGAAGAATGGTTTTAACATCACTATTCTACATTTTTATGTTTCTGTTGTCCCGTTCGGATCCTAAAAACAGTTTGTTTGTTTGTTTGTTTGAATTTTTAGACTTGAATAACAAGTTATTGTTATTTTAATATTAAATTGTAGAAATGATTACTAGTATAAAAGAATGGCCCTGTTATTCCTGTAAAAGATATGTGTAATTCTCCAAAGATCTTGATTTGGTTGCAACCCACAGTGATGAGGGGCAGACATTAATGTCGCCGATCGTAATACACATTTCTTGGCGGTTCACAAAATACGGGATTTGTACAAGCACTTATGACAGTTTACATACTCGTTACATTATATTATATGTTTGTAGGGATGTACATATATATGATACTATCAGTGGATGTGGTTCTATATCTTTTCAATCTCTTAATTATACCGAACGAGAATCATTCGTAAAAATTCAGCTCCCCCAACCTTTATTTTACATAAGTGTAGACAATAACTACTAAATATCGTTTTAAATTACATCATGTAGAGCAATATTCTTACTAAAAATCATTTTCGCAAACGTTCCAGCAGACTCGAGCACAGGCAAGTGGCATGTCTTGCGAACGACTTGTTTGAATAACGAATCGGCAGACATTGAGTTTTCAAAATGCCTAAAAGGTATCTTTCATACAGCTTGACACCGTTGAAAAAGACTTTTTAAAGAATAGAAACTATATTGGAACACATTAAAAATGTAACGCAAACATGTTTTTGTGCTAAAAGCAATCGCTTTCATATTGGGTTGACTTAAACTAATACAAACTGTTGTAACAAGTCTCGTAAACATCCTATAATGTAAATAATGGTCCATATAAAATTCGATAAGACCATATTTATTTCTTTTACTCAACAACCATTTTTCACATTTTTATTGGATACATGTATTTTTGTCCATTTTAATAATTGTTTATCTTTTACAAATTGAATCATTTTAGGCACATATTCATTTTTAGCGAATAATATATTTGTGTCCATTTCTGTAATTGTGTACCTTATACATAGATTTTTAACAGATCTTATTTTAAGGTAAATATTTTTTAAAGGTTAAATATATTTGTTGTCCTTTTACATACTTTTTGGGTCACACTCTTTTAGGAACACAATTATTTTGAAGTGCATATTTATGTATCTATTTTTTGGACATTTTATTCTTAAGTCAACTAATTTATTTGACATAAAATCATGCAACGTTTGCTTTGCCATACTTGAACTACCAATGAAATACTCACTCAAATGATTGGGTATTAAGTTCTAAAGGGATTACAGACACAACACAATTTTAGTCCAATGTATTTATAATATGGTCTCCTGAGATATAGCAAGCCAATGCTTTGAAATAAGTAGCAAGTTTAACATATGTTAAAGAAATTACAAATCTGTTCAGAATATGTCATGCTGTTTCGATATTCTTTCAACTACATGGCGTCTGAGTTATTTTAAAAGAGTGTCAGATCAAAGACAAACGTAATTTAAAAGAATGGCGTGAAAAAACAATTCTATCTTTTTTATATTTATTTAAAATATATAATTTTACCACCCTTATCCGGGACATAACAGTTTAGTTCAACCTTTCATTTGAGAACAATATTTGTTGTGATTCATGAACTGAGAGACGTTTTCTATTGTTTCTTCATTCTTCTTACATAGACAAAAAAGGAAATTATACACTTGTGAAAAGAACCTTTTTACATTTTCATGATTAATAATGGAAACAAATGTGTGAAAAAATATGGGTCATCATGCTTACTGTTTGAGATTATACCAATATACCTTTTTAATCTTGAAATCAACAAACGGACATTTGAAAGCACAATTATATGGTAATGGATTTTCAAAAGGCAGCATAATATATATGCCTTATTGATAGAAAGAAATCGGTTGGCAACGTATTAAATGGAGTAAAATCGGCATCACTTGATGTTTTTCGATTCTTGACTTTTTATTTTTAAAATCTGTACTTCTTTAAACAGCACTGCAATGGTTATAATCAACTACAAATTAATCATTGAAACCTTGAACAAAAACAACATTTTGAATCAGGCATATATCTTAACTATTAGCAGGGTTTTTTTTCACATTTTTACACAATCTAAATAAACCCTGTTAAGTTTGCTTCTATAAGATACTTTGATATTTAGATTTAATACGAAACAGCGGATTATAGTCACAATGCAAATTAAGAACAATAAAATTAACCAAAAGTTTGTGAAGGTATATAAATTGAAACTTTAATAGAAACGGTTTTCTCCAGCTGTGAACATAATTATTTTCCCTGTCAGTTTGGCGACATTTGAAAAAGGCGAACATGAAACTTTTGGTTCCATAAACGGGCAGTGAGCTGCCCGTATCATACAACTTAACATGTGATTGTCTCAATTGGACCTATTACTAAGTTTACCCTGCTTTATACCAGTCTGTCATGTTTTAACTTATAAACTGTTTATCAGAAGATATTTAAGATCAATTTAAAATTACTTAATCTGGCACCTAATATTATATGAGTCAAGAATTTTTAAACGAACTGTTTTGCTTTTACATTAATAATACTAGTATTATAGTATTTAAATGTTTGTTTAATTATTCTTTATACATAAAAAATAGCAATGATTTCTGTATAGTCGTAACCTACAATTACTAAATTGAATGATGATTTACTATTTTGAAAAATATATTACAGCTAATTAATGTCAATGTAATAATCAACTTTTCTGTCTAAAATTTAATAACTTTTATGACAAAAGTTATTATAGTACTTTAAGTAGCCGCAGTATTATTATCCATATTTTTTATACAGTGTACCATATAAACACCGTGAAGAAAGGAATAATATATTTGCCAAATTTTGCACACATTGAAGAAATGATTCATATCAAAACAGTTATAATTTATTTCATACTTAGATATTTATTATATATATTAT